ATACGAGCTTCACAGCAACCTGGAGAGGAAAAGACTATTATTCCTATTTTACAATTGAGGAAGCTGAGGCACAGAGGTTAAATGACTCACTCATGATCACCTAGCTAGTCAGTGTCTGGACTGGCTTTGAGCCCAATCAATGCTCTAGCACTGCACTAACAGCTCACAATCAAGGTCTCTCCTCTGCTGTGGGTTTGGGTTCCCATCTGCTGGCTTCCTCCTAATTGTGGGGACCCAATGACTAGCACTCCAGATCCATTTAACCCCTCAACACTGGGTACCTTTTCAGAGCAGTATTCATGTGCAAACATTTCTCCCAATACCTCAGGAGCACAATCCCCTCCCCCATCCACCTGAGTGGGAGTTACCTTAGCTGGCCTCAGCTCAGTCCTACAAAGTCTGGGTCTCACCAAGTTCACGTCCAAGGCCAGTATGGTTGCTGGCTTGTGCCGGGACATAGTCCTGGCCTCTTGCTTCTCAGGACAGGGCTATTGAGTTGGCTGAGCACCTGACCTGGATTCCTGGACCCCAAAACCCTTTCCTTTGTACTCTTGACCTGGATTAAAGGCTCCACTCCAGGCACCTAGAACAGAAGAACAAAAAAGCCCAAGCTCCAGGCCCATTTCTCAGGGATCGGACAACCTCTGAGAGTGGGGGAGGGGAGAAGGAGGCCCTGCCTCCCCTCTCCCTACCCCCAAGCTGCAGGCCACATGGTCTCCCTGGCCAGGGAGGGAAGGAGCCACCTTGTTCCTTCAGAAATGAATCCAGACAAGCAATGGTTAGAGCTGAGGCAGGTCTTTGGGAAGATGCCCACAGCGCTGGCCAGGCAGCCAATCAGAAAGGGCTCTTGGGAGTCACAGGTGACCTTGCCTCAGGCCCAGGATATCTAGGGGTGCACTTCCCTCACATGCCCTCCCTCAAAGAGGCTTCCCAGCCCTTTCCAAGGGCAGATACAATCACTTTGAGTAGCAGATAAGCTCCGCGCCTCCTGCACAATCCTAACGGGAAGTCATAGCCATATGTATGGGACCATCTTGGACACTAGTCTGTGAAGTTAGCCCATGACTCGGGAAGGCTGGTTCCCTCTGAGGCCGGGTCACCATCTGGCTTTCTGTCCAAACTCACCCAGAGCCCAAGGAATAGACTCCTGGCCCTGGAGGCCCCCAGCACATGTTGTCCCCAGCCCCCCTCCAAATCCTTCGGTCAGAAGCGGCAGAGTTGTCAGCACTGGCCCATGGGGCTGGGGAAGGATGACTCCTCAGGACCTCTGCTGATGGAGGGATGTCCCTCATCATCCATGGGGATGTCCCCATGTCCATGGGTCATGAGCCTATCCCAATTGGCCAAGGCCATCAGCCCCTTACCTTGGCACACTAATCATTTGGCTTCCTAGAATTCAGTGGGTCCTGCCTGCCGTGGCATCCATTGTGTTCAACAAACCTACTCCTAGTGAGTCATCTGGCTGAGGCATGTGGCAGGCATGATGCCCCTGCATTCTCTGCCTGGAGCCCTGCCTCCTTGTCTGACCATGTGGTCGGGGGCAGGTATGGGGTCACCCTCTTCATCGAGCTCCTATGAGGAGTAAAGAGCCCTGTGCTTGTTGTCTGCCCCTCACTCTCTTCCTGGGGTTCTTCTTCTTGTCTCTCCTGCCATTCTTTGGGAGCTATTTCCTTTTCTGTGGCTCTTGCAGCATCCCCCACCCCCACCCCCAAACCCCGACATCCAATAGAGACAAATCTCCTAATATGGGGACTATCTAAGAAGGGAATGGGCTGCCTCGAGGGGTAGTGAGTACCAGTCAAAGGGCAAACTAATGTCTGAAGCCCCAGTGATGTGACAGGCACTGTGCCAGGGGCAGGAGGGGATGGGTGGTACGAGTACAAAGGACAGAACAATTCCTATTCCAAAGGAGCTCATGTTGTAATGGGGAAATGAAGTGCATATGCTGGGCATCCCAAAGTCTTCATTCAGCTTTAGGCCATTAAAGTATAAGTCTGTGACTCCTTGTTAATTTAATTAGCATGTTTGGGCCCAGGAGCAAGAGAAGCTCTCTGTGGCAGGCTCCTCTGCCCCTGGTAACTCCTGGCCTCTTTGTGGCTAAGATTCAGATTTCCGAAAACATTTGAGGATGAAGCAGTATATGCCATATTGCAGGGTCTGTGGATAGACACAAAGTGTGCAGGGGAAGTGGGGGAAGGGCACAGCGTTTCCCTTGATCCTTGGAGTGATGGCTACATCTGGTGGCCTAACTCCGAACCTTCTGCTCCAAGATGCCTCAGGACCATTGGCCCTCCTTGATCTGCCAGCTTCTCTGGCTTCTCTTTACCCTCAACACTTCCAGGCTCAGGCAATCTCTCTAGGTTCTGAAATACTTCCTCCCTTTTATACCAGTTGTTTTGGGGGAGGGGGCTGAACCAAGCCTTTCTAGCGATGGCTTTGATTGAGTCTAGGAAGCGTACAGGCCCTGTTCACACCCATTTCTGAGTAATTGGTTCAATCAAGAAGGGTTATCTAATAGAGATAATTACTTTTAAGTGAGTTCAGCTTAATGGTTCCACCCATACAAGTAGGTACAGAAGAAATGTAAGGTAAATAAATATAAATATATACAAAGTAGTTAAATATAGTCAGTTCTGCTGTAATACTTGTTTGAAAATGTGATTTTGTTCCAACATGATTGTTGCATTGTTCAATTTTGCCCACCAGGTGAATGCAGAAAATGGCATCCAGGCAAATGAAGCCAGTAAGAATCCACAAAATACATATATCTCAAACAGCTGCAGGCTGTGTTTGCTATTCTTTGCCATTTGTGAATATGCGTGCAACATATACATATATACACAACACACAATACACACATATGCATACACACAACACATACACGCGCACATCACATGAGTATGCAAGTGCATAACGCTCGCATGTACACACACATATAACACACGTGTGCAATGCAACTATAACAACGCACATGTATGCATATGTACAACATGTATACACAATATACACATGTATATATGCAGCTGTGTGTACATATACTATGCATACAAATGTATGTGTACATGCATATGTAATAACATAAATATATACATGCACATGCACGGTATGCATATGCACACACGTGGATGTGTACACACAACATATACACATGCATATACACACATGCACCTGCATTCTACATCCCAAACATGTCTAAGCATTCTGGTTCAAAAGCATCTAGCAAGGCATGCAGGAGGAAAGTGTCAAGCTTTGAGGAAAAGCTTAGCATTAACTAAAGATCTTTGAAAGAAACAAGAGCATATGTGCTAATTCCTGAAGAAGCAGCAAAAAAAAAAATGAATCTGCACTGTGGCCCAGCAGAGACGATGCTGTGATGATAAAGGACCCCTCCATGGCTGGCAGTGTGGTGACCTGACCCTATTTCCCCCACAAGCCTGGTGGGGCTTCATTGCATGATCTTGCCTCATGTGGTGATGTTTAGGAATCCATATGGCCATGCTAGGGGGGAGCTGACTCTACCTAGTTGGGTAGAGAGGGTGCTAGGGGTTGTGGAGGTAAGGAAAGCCTTCATACAGAATATTGTGCGGGTTGGAGCTCAGTCTGAAAGGAAGGACTCTGGTAGAAGTGAGGAGGAAAGGGAGTGCATTCCAGGCTGGTGGAGCAGCCAGTATACAAGAGAGATGAAGTGGTGTGTCTGAGGTCCAGAGAGGATAGCTTGGCTAGAGGGCAGGTGGATGAGGGGGAGTAAAGCCCAATGAGGTTGGAAAACCTTTAGGCCAGGTTGTGAAGGGATTGAAAAGCAGCCAGAGGAATGAACCTTCGATTCTAGAGGCAATAGAGAGTCACTGGGGTCAGGCTGAGTAGGAGAAACTCACCTTCAGGGCAAGAGAAGGGTTAGGAGCATCGTTTTGGTTGGTTAAATGTTGGGATTCCCTTAGAGCTAATTAGATTATCTTGGTTTTTGCCCATCTTTGTTGAAAATGTTTCTCTTCCTGAATTGGGGATCTTTCAAAGGGGTCCCTAGTCATGTACAACAATGTGGGTGGCAGCAGATGGAAGACTAGGAGACTGGGCTGCAGGAATGCTGGCCCCCAGGACATCCAGAGAGTTACTTTCTTGAAAACAAAATCCCTAACGCCCAGGTGTTTTTTAAGGTCACAGGAATCTCTCCTCTTTTCTTTCCTTTCCTTTCACTGAATTATATAAAAGAAGAGATAATCTAAATCCCTCTTTCTACAGAGGAAGAAACTGATGTCTAAGGGCATCAGTGACTTGACTCGTCCCTTTATTTAACCCTTCACCTCACTCTCTTGTTTCTTTCTCTTTGAAGGGAAGTTCAGGCAAAGCATGAGGTAACTAGTCATTTTCTGGATTGGTCCAGGTTAATCAAAGTTCTTAGATTCTCAGTACAAAGAAATATTGTATCTTAAGGCTCACGATTCCTACACGATCCTTCCTTAAATTAGGTAAGCTTTGAATTTGAAAATGATTGAATGGTGATGTCAAGATTCAATTCCATTACAAGCATCGATGAAGACGGGCCTGCTGTGTTCCAGGTGCTGGGCTTGGTGCTGGGGAGCTGGACAAGATACAAATGGGCTCCATCTTAAGGGAGCTTTTAGGGGGAGTGCATGGCGGCGTGGTGTTCACAGCGTGTACTGTCTTACACAAATACAAAGTACAGACAAAGTAACTTCCATGAAGAAGGAAGGAGCGCTGATCACTCTGAAACATTGTATCTTTAAAACGCCAAAATGAAAAGCAGGGCCAGGCTGGTTCTCTCCCCTCTCCCTCCCCAACCCAGTCAAGGGGACCTCGCTCTTTGCTGGGCGTCCCAGCTCGGAGAGCCTCCAGTGAATGATTGGGCTGGCTAGCTAAAGGCCCAGAGACTGTCTAGTCTGGCAGGACCAGGCCGCTGGCCCTCCTCTGCTTCTGTCTCCTCCCCTTCCTCCTCCTCCGCCCCCCCCCTTTCTCTCTCCTCTCCCCTCCGTCCTCCCCTTCCCTGAGGGCCAGGGCCAGGTAGGGGGCGGGAGAAGAAGGGGAAGGAGGAGTTCCAGGCTCAGCCTCTGATGCCACAGTCTCCACGGCAACTCCCCCAGGCCAAGCCAACCGACAATAGGCTGCTCTCCCAGGGGTGCTGCTGCTGCTGCTGCTGCTTGCTGGGCCGCCGCTGCTGCTGCTGCTGCTAAGACGGTTTGAATCCCTCCTAGAGCCTAGGTTCTAATGGCCTTTGGGCGCAGGCACAGTGTGAAGCCGTTCTGAATGACTAGCACCAAGGTCAGGGAGAGCTCGCCCAAGGAGACTGCAGGGCTAGGCATGGAGCACCTCTTTGTGGAGGAGGTGGCGGCGTCTCTGGTCCGGGAATTTCTCAACAGAAAGGTAATTTCTGCGCCTGGGGTCTGTCCCCCAGCCCACCCCCCCCCCCAGCTCCTGGGGAGCTACAGGTGGGCGTGGGTTGGGGGCACGGATATTGGGGGCCAGGAGCTCAGCGAGCAACAGTCAGCGAGGCAGTCCTGGCCAGGGAAGCAGGGATCTGGCCACTTTGGAAGGCTTCCTGTAACTTCCCAACAAAGCGCCCCACCACAATCGCTGGGGAAGAGGCTGGACTACATCTCCCGTGAGTCACTTCTTTAAACAGTAATTTCCTTCATACATTGAGTCCTGGATAGTGCCTTCCTGGCTCAGAGCTATTTACAGTCTCTCTCCTGGACCTCCAGCAATCAGGAGCAGCCACATGGCTGCCTCTTGTTTAGATTAACACTCCCGAGGAAGGAAATTTCTGACTTGCCCTCAGATAGGGGGCTGCCCCTCTGCCATCTCCAAAGAGGCAGGAGATAGGAGGCTACCCCTCTGCCATCTCCAAGGAGGCAGGAGATAGGAGGCTGCCCCTCTATCCATCTCCAAGGGGCCAGGAGATAGGAGGCTGCCCCTCTGCCATCTCCAGGGAGGCAGGAGATAGGAGGCTGCCCCTCTGCCATCTCCAAGGGAGCAGGATGCAGGCTTACACTGAGGCCAAGTTTGTCTGCTGGTTCTAAACGGAGAGATAAAGAGCCCCAGTCAATCAAGTCTCAGTGTGCCCAAGGTTAGTAGAGTCTGGTAACTGGGCTTTTCTAGCCCTCTCTCCAGCCTCCTCCTCACCCTCTCCACCCTTACCCCTGCCCCTCTCCCCCCACAAAGCTGGACAAAGTGAGAAGGAGCTCTGCAGAGTGCCCTCACAGCTCCTTGGCCAAGCATCCCCGGGTATAAGCTTGTTTGTTGCCACAGCCCCAGGTAGTGCCTTCCTCCCCTGGTGGGTCCTTCACCAGCTCTGTGCTGCCAGGCCTCTGGTGATGGCCAAAGCAGCGACATAGCAACATGAATTGAAGGGCAGAGGAGCGAGATGGTGGCCTGCTGGTGCCTGCCTTGGAGGGAGCCTCACTTTCAATACCACTCCATTCAGTAAGCATTTATTGCGTGCCTACTGTGTGCCAAGCATAGTGTGGATTTTCAGGCTCTGTTCTCAAGGGCTTCCACTGGGGGAGGGAGGCCTGCTGGCAGAAGACCTAGGCTCAGGCCTTGTTTCTGCTGCATAAGCAGTCGATGCAGAGGCCTCGAAGCAGTGATGGAGTAGAAAAGGTGCTGGCTCTGGAGTCTTAGGGTATGAGTTTGATTGCTGGCTCTACTAGGTACTAGCTGTGTGATCTTGGGCATGTCACTGCAGGGAGCCTCAGTTTCCTCATCTGTAAAATGAGGGAGGTGGATCCAATGGCCTTGAAATCCTATGATAAGTGAAGGTTGTCCAGGGAGGGTGACCAGGCTGGTGAGGGGACTTGAAACGATGTTATAGTTTGGGTTGCAAGCTCGGGCTCCTTAGTCTTGAGGAAGACGTGATCATCAATGGTCTTTGATTGTTTGAAGGTCTCCGAGTGTTCAGCTCAGCCGAGATTTGTTCTGTTCTTTTCTGGTTTTTGGAGGAAAGAACCAGGACCACAAGGGAGAAGATGCTAGGAAGCACACTTCAGCTCTATAGGATTTAATGTCACCTTTATTAAGGTGTCAAACCTTGCACTTACAAGATGGAAAGATATGGCACCCTCAAGCCAACGATGAGAACCATTCAACAAGGGGATGGGAACCATTCAACAAGGGGATGGGCTGCGATTCTATGTAGTGACTGCCTGGGCCGTGGAATGCTCTCTTTTCTTTCTTCTTCTTCTTCTTTTTAGACTAGGTCTCCCTATCAAATGGGGGCTGGAAGTACAGGGTCTCCTCCCAGCCTCAAACCCTCTCTGCTTGTCACAGGACCTCTATTTTATTGGAACTTTCCACAGAACATCTTCCATGGTGCTGGTAAACCCTTTTGATGAGCGTGAATCTTCCTTCTTTACGCCTCTCTTTCTATTAATACTCAGAGCATCCTTGAACAGTTATCTCTGGTTGGGTCTGCCATGAAATCTTATATGATCTTAACCCAAAAGGAGAGTCTCCAAGTCTTGTCTTTGCTCCATTGAGTCAAAAAGGCTTTTTTTTTCAATCCACAAAGACAGTAACTTATATTCCCTATACCTGTCAGTTGACTGTGGGCCGAAGCCTATGTGGTCTAGTGTAGAGAATGAATGGCCAGTATCTGTCTTTTCCCTTCTCATGTTTCCAGTAAGGATGCCATATATAGACTATTCTCATAACGATTTAAAAAATGTTTTTGGTTACATTTTGAGTTCTGTGTTCTCTCCTGCCTTCCCTCCTAATGCCACATTAAAGAAGGCCAACATTTGATATAGACACGGAACCATATAGTACATATTTCCATATATAGTTCTTTCTCTGGAGGTGGAGAGCATATTCATGGTTGATTTGAATGTTGATATTACTCAGAATAGCTCAATCATTCACAGTTACTCTTCAAACAATATCGCTGTTACAATGTACAATGTTCTCTTGGTTCTGCTCATTTCACTCTTCATTATTTCGTGCAAGTCTTTCCATGTTTTTCTAAAATCAACCTGCTCATCATTTCTTATAGCACAGTAGTATTCCATCATAATCACATACCACTTGGTTCAGTCATTCCCCAATTGACAGACATCCCCTCAATGCCCAGTTCTTTGCCACCAGAAAGAGACTTGCTATAAATAGTTTAGAACATACTGGTTCTTTTCCTTTTTCCCTGATCACCTTGGGAAACAGACCTAGTGGTGGTATTACTGGGTCAAAGGGTATACACAGTTTTATGACTCTGGGCATAATTCAAGATTGCTCTACAATAGGCCCGCACAATATACAGCCTGTGAGCTGCTGGGAGTCCGCCAAAGGATTTCAGGTAGCCCACGAAAAATGTAGAGGATTTAAAGAAAGTAAAGATGTAACGAGTGCTTTGTCTGTGCCTTGCTTAACCCACCTTCCACTAGTCACTATCGTGCCCATCATGTAACTTGGTGGGTGGGTTGTCACTATGCTCTCTGTCACTTGACCTGAGGTAAACAATCATTGTCAGTCTGTCTTTAGTCTGATTTCATGATAAATAAAATCTTAGGGAATAAGTGTAATTAATTGATATCAATTGAAATTTCTCTTTTTTATATGGTTTATTTGCAAAATAGTTTAATCATTAATTATACCTTTACTTACAAAGTAAGCCACTAAAAACCTATCTGCGACCTGAAGAAGTTTAACCGGTTTTCATTTTGGCTCCTACCTACTGCCAAATTGTGCAGGTCTGCTGTACAGAATGGTAGGAACAGTTCACAACTCCACCAACATTGTATTAGTCTCCCAATTTTCCCACATCCCCTGCAACATTTGTCATTTTCCTTTTCTGTCATATTAGCTAATCTGATAGGTGTGAAGTGGTACCTCAGAGTTGTTTTAATTTGCATTTCTCTACTCAATAATTATTTAGAGCATTTTTTCCATATGACTATGGTTTTGATTTCTTCTTCCAAAAACTTCCTATTCATATCCTTTTTTTAAAAGACACTAATCTTAAAGTTTTCATTTCATTCCTGTTGCTTGTAGGTATTTTGGTGCAGTAGACAGAGGTCTGGATTTGGGTTGGACACAGATTTTTTTTAGAGTTTCTTTTTTTAATTAATTAATTTATTTTTAGTTTTCAGCATTCACTTTCATAAGATTTTGAGTTCCAAATTTTCTCTCCATCTCTCCCCTCCTTCCACCTCAAGATGGCTCTAATTATACATTGATACTGAACCTATTTTCACATGTCTTGTTGTAAAGAAGAATTAGAACCAATGGGAGAAACCACGAGAAAGAAGAAACAAAAGAAAAAAAGAGATCAAATAATGTGCTTCGATCTGCATTCAGACTCCATAGTTCTTTTTCTGGGTGTGAATAGTGTTTTCCATCGTGGGTCTTTTGGAGTTGTCTTAGATTCTTGCATTGCTGAGAAGAGCTAAGTCTAGCAAAGTCACTCACTGCACAGTATGGCTGTTACTGTGTACAATGTTCTCCTGGTTCTGCTCATTTCACTCTGCATCAGTTCATGTAAGTCTTTCCAGGTTTTTTTGAAGTCTGCCTGCTCATCATTTCCGATAGCACAGTAGTATTCCATTACATTGATATCCCATAACTTGTTCAGCCATTCTCCAATTGATAGGCATTCTCTCGATTTTCAATTCTTTGTCACCACAAAAAAAGCTGCTATAAATAATTTTGTACGTGTGGGTCCTTTTCCTGTTTTTATGATCTCTTTGGGATATAGACCTAGAAGAAGTATTGCTGGGTCAAAGGGTATGTACATTTTTGTAGCCCTTTGGGCATAGTTCCAAATTGCTCTCCAGAATGGTTGGATCAGTTAACAACTCCACCAACAATGCATTAGTGTTCCAATTTTCCCACATCTTCTCCAGCATTTATTATTTTCCTGTTTTGTTATGTTAGCCAATCTGTTAGGTGTGATGTGGTACCTCAGAGTTGTTTTGATGAGCATTTCTCTAATTAATAGTTATTTAGGGCATTTTTTCATATGACTATAGATAGCTTTAATTTCTTCATCTAAAAGCTGCCTGTTCATATCCTTTGACCGTTTATTAATTGGGGAATGACTTGTATTCTTATAAATTTGACTCAGTTCTCTATATAGTTTAGAAGTGAGGCCTTTATCAGAGACACTGGTTTTCTTTTCCAGTTTTCTGCCTTCTTCCTAATCTTGGTTGCATTGGCTTTGTTTGTGCAAAAACTTTTCCATTTAATGTAATCAAAATATCCATTTTGCATTTCATAATGTTCTCTATCTCTTGTTTGGTCCTAAATTCTTCTGTTCTCCATAAATCTGACAGGTAAACTACTCCTTGCTCTCCCAGTTTGCTTATAGTATCAGCCTTTATACCTAAATCCTGTATCCATTTTGATTTTATTTTGGTATATGGTGTAAGATATTGATC